CAACCAAAAATGGCTGCTGGCATCCGGTGGGTATAGGCCAGAGATGCTGCTCCACATTTTATAAAATGCAGCCACACAACCAAGAACTATCTGGCCCCAAATGTCAGGAGTGCTGAGACTGAGCCCTAGGAGGACTCCGCCAAAAAGCTCCATCACAAGCTCAGGTGCTGGGTGGACATTCTGACATTTGCCCAAGGAGGTGAGTGAGATTCAAGTATCTCCTGGGCTCGAAGACTCTCAGCTCATAACCACCTCCTCCTGCAGATGCCTGCAGGATGCCGATCTCACCTACTCTGCCATCACACCCGCTGTCTAAAAGGGTGTCTTTGGAGGCGTGCAGGGCACATTTTTCTAATTTGAGAGGTAGGTTCTCAGTAGAGGGCAGCCATGAGCCCGGTGCTGTAATTCCCAGCTCACCTTCTCCAATTCCTGCAGGAACACCTGCGCGATCCAGGAGGCCCTCTCGAAGCAGGTGATCACTTCCTCCTCCCGCTCAGTCATGCGGTGGCGGGAAGCGATGGAGTTGGGGAGGCGTTCCAGGGAGAGGCCTGCGGGAGGAGGAGAGCACCTCAAACCTGCCCTGCTCGGGCCCCCCGACTCCAGGTCCTTCCCACGGGGCCCGGGGCGGGCTCCACCGAGGAGACCTAGGCTCTGGAGCAGCCAGCGGGAGGCGGAGGTCTGCGGAGGGGAAGAGGGGGGCTAAGCAATGGTGGTATTAGCAGCAGCTGGGATCAAGCAGTGGGCAGACAGCAGGCACCCATGCCCCACATGGGGAACCACACTGTGACACCCCCACATCCTACTCCTACCTATGCTTCCAGACCAACCTCTCCAGGAACCATTCCCGACCCTCCCTCCGGCTTCGAGGAGAAAACACCCACACCCCCAGGCACCCTGCATTGTAGACTGGTTACTTGTGCCAGCTCCTCTCCCTGGGGTGCTGAGAGCTCCCTGTGGACAAATGTGATTCTCTTTGGACATCCACCATCCCCAGCACACGGCAGACGCTCAATGCTCGAGTTACACAGCATTTTACATGCACCTCTCCCGTGGAACCAGTTTCTATCTCGCCAAAGCGATCTGCACCCAGGTCTTATGGGCCGAGAGTGGATGCACATCTGCTGGTTGTGCCTCCACTTCCCATTCTTTCAACAGCAGCACCTCACTTTCCCTTTGAGCACCCCTCCTGCAGTCTCAGCCTGCGTGGTTCAAGGGCAATGACCCCGTCCACCTCCAGGGCAGCACATCAGCCGGGCTGACCCACCCTCAGGGCCACAGTCAGTGGCTAAGGAGGAGCACACGGCCCAGTCTGAGCCAAGAAAGAACCAGTTCCTCCTTCCACTGGACTTGGTAAGCTGGTGAGAGGTCGGCCCGGAAATGTCGGGGAAAGCCTGCCTGCACATGAAGCTGCACAGCGAGAATGCAGTTCACACGGCTGCATGTGCACTGAACAACGGTTAGTATGTTTTTGTTGTTGTTTTTAGTTTATTGATTTTTAGAGAGAGAGGAAGGGAGAGGGAGAGGGAGAGAGAGAAAAACATCCATCAAACTGACTCCTGCATGCCCCCTACCGGGGATTGAGCCCGAAACCAGGGCATGTGCCCTGACTGGGAATCGAACCTTCGACCTTTGGTGCACCGGATGACACCCAACCAACTGAGCCACACTGGCCAGGGTGATGGTAAATTTTATGTTATGTGTTCTTTACCACAATTAAACATTTTTAAAATTAAAATAAAAGCAGAGTGCTAAAGCAAAGCAAAACAAAAAACCCCAAATCCCCAAACAAAAAATCTAAGAAGCCAAGAAGGAAAAGCACTGTTATACTTACTAGAAGTGACCGGGGTAAGGGAAAACAACTACATTTGTATCCGTTGTTTTTTTTTAAGTCAGGAAAGATTGAATAAACTTAGTCATGAAAGAAAATCAATGGTGCTTACGCAGAGTAAAGGTGAGATATCATGGAAAAGAGCTGGTTCTTAAAGACACTATTTGAGCACCTTGCCTGAAGCTCTACCCCCTGAAACTTATAAACCTCCCCCCGTCCCAACCTCTTTTTGAGTCTAAGTCAGTTTAAATTGTGTTTCTGTCACTTGCAACTCGCACAGACCCGACTGGAGGGGGCTGTCCTAGACTGCCGGTTCCCGATGGGCAGAACCAGTCTCTCTCATCTTCGTGCCCCACACAGTACTTGACATGCACTGGGTGCTCAAGATGGACTGACCGAAGGAACTATAAGAACAGAATCCTCAACTCTCTCCTGCCCTCCACCCTCCACATCCAACCGATAACCATGCCCTCCCCTCCCTTCCCTTACTACCCACTGCTCAAGAGGATGCCCACATCAGCCTCCTAGCTGGCCTCCCTGCCTCCAGCCTCCCTCTAATCCATCCTGCACACGGCTCCCAGGGCGATCCTGCCAGGTTTACTTACAGCCCTCCAGGAGTGCCCACTGCTACAGACCAAAGTCCAACCTCCTAACGCTCCTTTCCAGGCCCTCCAAGATCCATCCCTGCCACCGCTCCAGCCTTGCCTCTCGCCATATGCTGTAGATCGGGTGTTGTGTTCCCCCCAAATCCATATGTTGATGGTATTGGGAGTGGGGTCTTTGGGAGGTGATTGGGTCCTGAGGGTGAACCCCTCACTAATGGGATAGAGCCCTTATAAAAGAGGCCCCAGAGAGCTCCCTCCCTCCTGCCACCACGTGAGCACACAGTGAAAGTTGGCAGCCTACAACCTGGAAGGGGGCTCTCACCACAACCCGACCATGCTGGTGCATTGATCTCGGACTTCCAGCCTCCAGAACGGTGAGAAATAAATGTCTGTGGCATATAAGCCTGTGGTACCTGTCATAGCAGCCTAAGCTGTCTCATACACCATAACTGCCATGTCCACACCCAGCCTCCTGCATCCAACTGCTGACCCTGGTCAAGTTGCTACTGCTGCCTAGAATGCTCCCCCCCCCCCCCCCCCCACCCGCCCCCGTCTACCCCAAATTACCTCTCTCCTTCTGCCCCACTGAGTCTCTTCTATGATGCCCCTCCCAACATACCTGGTATAACCAACCATTCCCTTCTTGGATCTCGGTCTGTACTTTATACATACCTGCCCCACCATTTCTTACACATATTTGTTCACACATTTGCCCAGCTAGCCTGTAGGCTCCTTAAAGGCATCGACCTTATCACATTCACCTTTCCACAACCTGGCGCACAGTAGGTGCTTGGCAAGCACTGGCTGGCTGCAGAAACAGCAAGCCTGATCATGTCTGACAAAGTACAAAGTCTCTGCCAATACAAGGTGAGGAATTATTATTGTTTTCTTGGCTACATCCCAACTCTACGGATCCAGTGACCTTGCCCTCTGCCTGGCTGGGGTGTGAGCAGGTCTGAAGGTCGGGGTGGCTCGGTCTAGGGGGAAGTGGTGAAGGTGAAGGCCCTTGCTCAACACAAAAACTCAGTTCCTTGTGTCCCTGAGTGTCAACTGCTTCCTGCCAAAGACTCACAACCATTTCAGTTCCTCACTGGAGAGGACTAAAGGGGGAGGAGAAATAGATGGAGTAGTGGAGGAGCTGCAGAAAGAAGGCAGAAGGCGGCCCCACTGCTCCCTGCCCGTGCGGCCCAGCCCTTGCTCTTCAGTCATGTGGCCTGTCTGCCCAGCAGGAAGGTGGGGCAAACATACAAGCTGTCCCGAGACCTAGCCTGGGAGACCAACTGAAGGTGGCAGGAGGACACCACCAACTCCAGAAGGCAGCGTGGCCCTGTTTTAACACAGCCACCCTGCCCCCCAGCCCGAGATGTGCCGCTGGCTGGCTCCCCTCCTGCCCCCCCCTATGGGCCCTGAACTAAGATAGACCATGCCAGTGGCCTTGCAGGTTCAGGCTGCCGGTCCCAGGCCTGCAGTTGAGGGGTCCCAAAGCAGTGAACTTAGTAACATCTGTCTGGGGGGCCTCCTGTGCTTCATTTCTCCTTCTGCTCCCAATTCTCCGAGAATTCTAAATCCTATTGTCCTTGGATGCTCACAGCAAAACCACCTCCTCTTTGAAACCTTCTTCAGCTGCACAACCTCAAACCAGCGGAACGTTTTAGCTGCATCTCCTTGTGTGAGCCTTTGTCCTACATGGTCACCATCCTCTCTGCCCATTTCTGATTGATCTGGGCACCCAGTGAGAGCAGGGCCTGGCACTGAGTGAGTGGATGGGAGCGTAGATGAGCAAACGTACACACTCATGCTGAGTACAGAGCCCACTGGGTTTCTCCCTCTCTGTTCCAAAACTAGTTCTTGCAGAATTCATAAACAAATTGTTTTTACAATGGAATACTACTCAGAAATAAACAAAAAGACAAACTCCTGATATACATACAACATAGACGAATCTCTCAGAAATTATATTGTGCAGAAGGAGCCAGATCAAAAGGTACATGCTGTATTATTTCAGTTAAATAATACTCAACAAAGGAAAAAAATTAATCTATATTAATAGAAATCAACCAATCACTGCCGGGGGGTGGGGAGGGGAGAAGAGGACCAATTGGGAAAAGGCGAGGAACGTCCTGGGGTGATGGAAACGGCCTTCGTCTTTATTGGGGTGTTGGTTACATGGGTATTTACATTTGTCCAACTCATCACATTATACACTTAAGATTTGTGCCCCTTCCTGGATGATAATTTACCTAAAATTAAGGAAGCAGCTGTGATTCTGGGGAACTGAAGGATGGAAGCAGACGGGCGCGGTCACTGAGGTGGTCTCTGGGAAATAATTTCCAGCATGCACAGGACAGAAGCTTCTGGAGCTGGCAACGGCGTTTCTCAACCAGGGTCACCCGTTCCGCCCATACAAAGAGGCTTCTTTACCTCCTGTTTGCTCTTTGACTCATAAAAAGGTCCATTTTCCTGCCCACAAACATCTGATAGAAAACATGCTGGGGACTCCAGCTGGTGGGTTCCCCTTCGCCCTCTGCCTTTGAGCGCTTCTGCCCAAGTGGCTGGACTCCAACACTAGATCCAGATGGAGATGGGCTGCTCCGGTGCCACCAGGCCCTGGGAGGACCCCGGGGGTTGTAACACAGGCTTGTCAATCAGATAGGAGCCGGGGCAGGAAATGCCAGGCACTACCTCCCGACTCCACTGGCAAAGGGGCCTTTCTGTGAAAACACCAGCTCTACCAGCCAAGGGAGGGCCCTGGTAGAGAGGAGCGCTTGCTTCTTTCATTAACTTTCGGTTTGGACACAGGCTGATCCTGGTACAGCCCTGGGCTCGGCACCCAGGCTGGTGGCAGCCTCTTCAGCCTGGGATGACTCATCACATCCCAGACAGCTAGCTGCCCTTCCAAGAAGCCCCACCCTGGGGGCCCTGGGCCTGGCTGCAGAGGTGGAGAGCACAATGCTTCCTCTGCCGCGGAACTTTCCACACGGGTGGGACCCCTCCCTCTCGCCTACCCAGCAGGTCCAACAGCACAGGGCACCCACAGAGGGCACCCACAGGGGTGGGGAGAGGAAGAAATGCAAGCCGCTGCTTCAGCCCTTAGGGAGGAAGCCTCAAGGCCAGG